AACAAAACAATAAGATTTTGGGAAAAAAAATAAATAAATAATTAGGGTCACCTAAATAAGTAGTCCTAAATAAAAGAAAAATATCTTTCTTCTCAGAGAAAACAAAAACAGGCTACACAATCTGTATTTCTCTCTCAAAAAAAAATGACACCTGCCACAAATAATCAGTAAAGATAATGGATGCAAATTGAAAAAGGTGTTGAATAGAAGTTGGTCAATATAATTAAAAAGAGTCAAGAAGCATTAAGAATATTCTATGTGGTTAAGAAGGGATATAGTGATTAGTACCTACCTCCCCCACCCAACTCCACACCCCACACTCAAACAAATGTACCTATAAAACTAGTTCTTCTCCCTTTAATTTCTAGGCTATTTCCTAAATTGGTTGAAGCCTAGATCTAAGTTGTATATGCAAATAAAACTTCATTGCAGTATAGCAGAAACTAAAGTTATGCATAAATGCTACATTCGAAATATAGTACAATTAAGCAGTATAATCAGAAAAGATTAATGATCTACCATTACATGCATGAAGTAGCCCAAAAATGCTAAGAGATTAAATATACCTCCTTACTTCCGTGAAAGAGAAGGGTCTTTGGTCTTCTAAGCACATGATACATCAGGACATGAACTTTTTTGTCTTTGCCACTGCACATACAAATGCTACTAGCTGAACTAGTTTCCTCATTCAGTGATGCTTGTAGACTAATGGCTTTCAGGCAAATATCTACTGTTCCATCACTCATCTCTGCCTGGAATGTTGAAATCTGTGAACATTTACTTTCCTTTGGGCAAAAGAAAGCTAGGAAAAGAGCATTAAAATTTGCTTTTATTTTATATAAAATGAGTAAGCTCTATGGTCTCTGCCTAAGGGTCCACAGGTTCAAAATGTTTGGCTTCCTTTTACCTGTGAAACTTACAGTATTCAATCAATCTAAAACAAAAAGAAAGAAAAAAAAGAATTTAATTAACTCAGTTTTGCAAAAGTAGCCCAATTTCTCAAACCTCCGTTTCTTATCTATAAAGATGAATCTTCATTTCTTTAGAAAATACAGCTTACAAAGAACCAGAAAGTTAGACAATTACACTTAAAGAATTCTCTACGTGACTATTCATTCCAAATCATTTGAAAAAAAATACTCTGATAATAAATAAAAATATAATCCACTTTCCTTCCCTGTAAAGAACACCTTAATAGAAGCTTTGTTTTCAAAGTCTTCTAGCCTACAGAAGGATGATCTTCATATAAATGTAATTACAAACTGGGCAAAGGATTTTATGAAAGTGGGGCAAAATACAGTAACTTCCATATTTTACATACAACAGGTATTTTATATGTATAAAATAATTACATAAGACAGAAACTTAAGATATTATGTAATAAGTTAATTCCTTGGCACACATATATACTTCTACTATAAGTATATAAAAATGTTGAATATAATGATGCAAATTATAAAAAAGAATTCTACAAACACATTCTAAATTTAATAAATTGTTAACATTTGACTTCCTGGTCCAGGTGCCTTGAATGCTGAATATGATTCTGCAGCTCCTTCATCTAAGTTATTCCTATCATTCCTTCAGAGCTCAGCAAGAGTTCGTTCACCCAGAAAATTTTCCCTGACATCCCAGACCAGATCAAGTTCTTTGTTTTGTTCTCTGATTACTGAAAGTATATCAAAATTGCAACTATATAACATAACTGCTGATTTACTATTCTGTAGCTCTTTAAAGTCTTTCAGGAAAAAGACCTATCTATCTTATTTCCTATTTTATCACTTGAACCAAGCACAGAGTTTTAGAGAAAATAAATGAATGGGTAATTATGGAATAATTGTTAAATAAATCTTTGACCAGAAAATTCATCTAGGTAAAATCTGCCATTACAAACTTACTGCTCTTTTAATACAACCAGCATTTAGCTAATTCTCCATCTTTCTTCTGACATGGAAAATATAGTTCACTAGAAAACTGGAAGTTAAAGTAAATCCTAAGAATACAGAACATTTTCCTTTTAAGAAACATTACTACTGCTAGGTGTGGTGGCACATGCCTGTAATCCCAGTGGCTCTTGGGAGGCTGAGACAGGAGAATTATGAGTTCAAAACCAGCCTCAGCAATTTAGCAAGGCCCTAAGCAATTCAGTGAAACCCTGTCATGTGACTCAGAAGTTAAGCACCCCTGGGTTCAATCCTCAGTACCAAATAAAATAAAATAAAATAAAATTACTACTTAGTAATCCAGATTACTAATTTCTTTCACCAAGCATTCTCCATCTTAAGTAAAATTTGATTCTGCTTAATATTACTTATTACATGAGCAGTAGTAAATAATCTAGCAATAAAACAGAAATCAGTATATGATATTTTAAATAAAAGTAAACTTTTGAGAGGTCTAAAAGCATTTTTACATTACAACACTATAACAAAGATAAGGAGGGAATCCTAATGGGCACTGAAAAAACAGAATAATAATAACTGCTTAAAAATAATTTATTTCTTTTATACTTATTTTCCTCAACAATCAGTAGAGAATAAATGGAACTATTTTAGTAGTCTGTATAAGATCATATAAAAATGTTCTTTGAACATCTATTTTTGTCTACCAAGCCAGCCTTCTTTTACACAGCCTCTCATACTTCTTGAGGAAGCTGCTTATTTCTCTAACATCTTTGTGGTTGGGGGCTACCAATGTAGTATCCTTGTTTTCTCCAACCATGGGGTGGACTTGTCATTAGAACAAGTCAAAAATTTTACCAATTCTTAACTGAGTGATTAATCCAAGTGGTGGACACATAATACAGGTTGGGCCAGGTATTTTCCCAAGATATTTGATTGGAAGTAGTGGGGTAAAGGTATTTCTTCTCCCTTGTTTAATAAACTAAGCTTAATCTTCTTTTGTTGTTGTTTGTTGTATCAGAGCACTTAAACCACTAAGCCATATCCTTACCACTTTTTGTTTATTTTGAGACAGGGTCTTGCTAAGTTGCTTAGGGCCTCTCTAAGTTACTAAGGCTGACTTCAAATTTGTGATCCTCCTGCTGCAACCTCCTATACCACTGGGGATTATAGGCGTGTACCACCATGCCTAGCAAAGTTCAACCTAGAAGTATCAGCAGCTCTGAAAAAATTAAGCCAAAGGAGCAAAGATGAAAAAGGAAAAAAGAGTTCTAAATGATATTTTATTTCCTAAACTCATAAGATCCTGAAATGAATTCTAGTTCTTACTTTTCCATGGTTTAGTAATCTAATAAATCATTTTTTTATTTGCTTAGTTAGTTTGAGTAAGGTTTTTCAGTTACAATCACAAAGTCCTAATATAGTCCCATATTCCTTTAGGCATCACAAAATGAATACAAAGAAAAAAATTTTAAGTGATTTTTTTTTTAAATACTGTCTCAATTTTACAAATGTAAGCAATGTTATACTCTAAATTCTTCCCTTTTACAATTTTAAATATATACAGATCAATTAAACATGTACTGTTAAATTTTGTTTGTTTTATATTCTTGATTATTTATTATTTCTTTATATCTTTATTTTTTTCCAACCTTAAATGTTAAACATATTTTCTTAATTTCAGTCTCATTTTTGCTATCTCATTATTCCTTTCACATAGCACAATGTTGTTTTAATGTTTTTATAAATATACATATATATGTATCTTCTCAAATCTCTTAAAATGTTAATTATAGATTTTATATTTCATTTTAATATTTTAGTTTTTGAAGCATTAACACTATTCTTCCAAACTCTTTTTGGTTTGCCTTCATTGTATTTTTTTTCATGTTGTTCTTCAAATGTCTGATGATTCCTGAATATCCATTAATATTTAAAAATAGGGCCATAAGCAAGTAATTAGAAGCCTTGTGAGCATATCTAGGTTCCTTGACTAATAATTTTTTTCTTTGTGGTTTTAAGTAATTAGCTATTTCAATGAAGTATACTTAAATGCCAGAATGTACAGGTCTATGCTCCAGTATCATTTAATTTCTTTGGGAGAAAATGAAAGTAATAAATACAGTTCCCTACTCTACCCTGGCCCTAAAGCCTAGTGACTGAGCTAAATGAAAAACCTGCAAATCCTTTATCTGCACACTCCTAAAATATCTCATTCTCCATAAAATTTTATATCCACCATGTTCCAATTCCATCCCTGTTGGTGGAAGGAGGAAAGACAGAAAGGATTCCTACTTACAGAACAGGGAAGTCTTATTTTAACTGATACACATAGTTTAAAAAAAAAATGTTTTACAAATAACCAATATGTACAACAAAAAAATAAATAAAAATGAATACTAATCCTAACCCTGATATTTTCTATTGCCTAAGTAATGGTGATAAATACTTTCACTATTATTGTGTGAGTAAAACTTAAAGCTAAATAAATATAAACAAATAAAAGTTGTAACTTGTTTCCATGGTTTCAATTATCTCTCCTCTATCTGCTTTCTGAACTCAAGAATAATTGTGGTTATCTTTCATTTGATAATGATCCTTCTCTATTCTCTTTACACTCTTTCTCTTTTACTTCTTTGGGATAATTTTAATGGACACCTGGGAGGACAAAGACGAGAAATTCAAGTGCCCAGTTTGTAATCTTCAATTCACTATTCCCACAGACATTAAAAAAAAAAAAAAACATTTTCCTAACCTCTTTCTGGCATATCTTAAGGTCCCTCTGCTAATTACCATGGCCTCAATTGCTGGGACTTACTATTTGATTTCAAAGGCAATCTGGGGAATTAAAAAGCAAATCCGAGTGCTTATAGTGATCAGAAGAATCTATGTGTCAAAATTCGATTTAACTCTAACACTAAAGTAAATTTTTGTTTAAATATTCAAAATTAAACCTAAATACTTCAGTGAGGAAATGAAAAAAAAAAAATTTAGGGCGCATTTAAGGAAAATTTTCTTCAGAAGAAGAAATAATCAAAATCAATCTCTCAAATACATCAATAAAAATAATATACTTATTTGAAATAAAAGAGTACTTACACAGCAAGACTACTCAAAACATATTGTACGTGCTCACATTCATCTGGGAATGATGCACTGGCGGACGTAAAACAACAAAGTGCTGTCTGAAGAACCTGAAGTTGTGGCAATGGGACCTGCCATCTTCCAGCATAATCTTCAACCACCTGAAAGGGAAGCAATCCAAAAAGTACGTTACTGTAGAAAATGTTCTCAACTTTTCAAATTTAAAGATGTGAAGAAAATTTACTGGATAAAGTAAAACTTTAGTTCAGCATGAACACAGATGACCTGAAGGATGGGGGAAAGTCCTATATCATTTATTTTCATGGCATACATCTGAAAATAAAATCAATTACTAACTTTAAAAACATGTAAACAAAACAGCATATGAATGACTACTATTCAACTGTTAAACTTTACCAAATTTCTAACAAATGCTCTTCATGTCCTATATCCAGCTATTTAATAACATCCAGCTATTTAATAATTGGTTAAACACCAATTATTAAATATTAAAGTAGCTACAATATAGTAATAAAGAAAATGAGGAGTGTGTGTTATTGCCATCATTATTATTTATAAGGCTCTAAGCATTCTGTCAACAAACGAATGTTATACATTGGTTGTGAATATTTAACAGATATCCTATTATTAGGAAGAGTCCAGAATACAGTCATTCATTTTTTTCTTTTGCACTTTAATTTTCCTTTATTATATTTATAATTTACTGTGGATGACTAATACTTATCAATATTCCTTCTGTTGCCATCAGCACTGAAAGCTGCTTTGTGTCTGGGTCTTCCCAAACCACGAAAGTAAAGAATTCTTTAAGTTCAACTGAATTTGGAGGTACTGAAATTCTGATTTATTTTGCATTTATCTTATACAGAAACCTGATCTGTATGAGGTATCAGGGAAATGAAAATTAATTTTTAGAATCACAATACATATAAATCACCTAACCAAGCTCTCCAGGCCAGATGGCTTTTATGTATTTATTCATTTATTCTAATTAGGTATATATGACAGAAGAATGCATTTTGATACATTGCACACAATTGCAGAACAACTTTTCATTTCTATGATTGTACAGGATGTAGCATCCACCATATGTGCAGTCATACGTGAACCTAGGATAATGATATCCATCTCACTCCACCATCTTTCCTGTCTCCAGGCCCCCTCCCCACTCCTCCCTTCCCTTTGCCAATCAAAGTTTCTCCATTTTTCCCATGCCCCTCCCCTGTTATGGATCAGCATCCACTTATCAGAGAGAACATTTGGCCTTTGTGTTTTGGGGAGATTGGCTTACTTTCCTTAGCATGATATTCTCCAACTCCATCCATTTACCTGCAAATGCCATTATTTTATTTTCTTTTAATGTTGTGTAATATTCCATTGTGTATATATACCACAGTTTTCTTTATCCATTCATCTACTGAAGGGCTTCTAGGTTGGTTCCACAGTTTAGCTATTGTGAATTGAGCTGCTATAAATGTTGATGTGGCTGCGTTACTATAGTATGCTGATTTTAAGTGTTTTGGGTATAGACCGAGGAGTGAGATAGTTGGGTGAAATGGTGGTTCCATTCCAAGTTTTCTAAGGAATTTCCATACTGTTTTCCAGATTCGTTGCACGGATTTGCAATCCCATTTGCAATGTATGAGAGTGTGCCTTTTCCCCCACATCCATGCCAACATTTACTGTTGTTTGTATTCTTGATAACTGCCATTCTGACTGGAGTGAGATGAAATCTTAGAGTAGGGTGATTTGTATTTCCTAATTACTATGGAAGTTGAACATTTTTTCATATATTTATTGATCAATTGTATATCTTCTGAGAAGTGTCTGTTCAGCTCCTTAGCCCATTTATTGATTGGGTCGTTTGTTTTTTTTTTTTTGGGGGGGGGGTGTTAAGTTTTTTTGAGTTCTTTATAATTCCTAGAGATTAGTGCTTTGACGTGCGTGTGGCAAAAATTTGCTCCCAAAATGTAGGCTCTCTCATCATTTTACTGTTTCTTTCGCCGAGAAGCAGCTTTTTAGTTTGAATTCATCCAATTTGTTGATTCCTGGTTTTATTTCTTGTGCTTTAGGAGTCTTGTTAAGGAAGTTGGGGCCTAATCTGACGTGATAAAGATGTGGGCCTACTTTTTCCTCTATTAGGTGCAGCATCTCTGTTCTAATTCCTAGGTCCTTGATCCACTTTGAGTTGAGTTTTGTGCATGGTGAGAGATAGGGGTTTAGTTTCATTTTGATGCATATGGTTTTCCAATCACCATTTGTTGAAGAGGCTATCTTTTCTCCATATGTTTTTGGCACCTTTGTCTATGAAATAACTGTATTTATGTGGGTTTATCTCTGTGTCTTCTATTCTGTACCATTGGTCTATTTTGGTGCCAATACCATGCCATTTTTATTACTATAGCTTTATAGTATAGTTCAAGGTCTGGTTTTGTGATGCCTCCAGTCTTGGCTCTGTCAATTAATTTCATGAAGTTCTTTTCAAAATTATTCATCTTTCAAAGACACATGTAGGGAACAACCTTGAAAATAGAGATGATGTTTCCCTCCAGAGCAGTAAGCCTCAACTGTCCAGAATAAAAAGTCAGACTCTTCTGCTGAGGCAAGGTCAGAAGACATGCTTACAGAACATTATATAAGATTAGGGTTCCTTAAGTTTGAGGTTCCTCGGATGGAAACCTACTCAATTCATTATCCATCTGGGCCACTCATATCAACCACATGAGACTTGAAGGGCAAGAGCAACCATCATAAACATGGAGATCAAGCTGTTTGCTGGGCCATGATAATAAGAGTCCTTTTTTCCTGAGCAAATGTTTTAAGTCTTCTGCCAGCATTCATGAAATTGTGGAAGGCTTACCTGGATAAAATCTCAGAATCTTTATAATTTTCAACAATTCCAAATGGTAATACCTGGTACCCTGAACATTTTCTACAATTATCTGGGAACATATTCGGATAAAAAGTAAAGCTAGAGGGGATTATTTCTGAAAATCTGTATCTCTTCTAGATCTTGTGATTCTCACTAGCTTAGAAAAAATAAAAAGTACTCCAAGCTATGCTTGCCCCAAGTAGGATCTTTCCAAACCATTTATGTCCAGTAAAGAATGAATATCAAATAAACAATATGAACTTGTTTCCAAATTTTCTCTTCATTAGGATCTCTGGCTAACTTTATTGTCTCTTTCAGGCCACCATACCACTTTGGTGCCACATTAAAAAAAAAAAATAGATTTTTGATAACCTCACAACTTTCTATCTCCAATCCCAAATAGTTTCCCCTAATTTATGTCTACTTACACCTTATTCATTTCCAATTTATGGACTTCATTTCTCCCTTAGAAGACTTCTATTTTCTCAGGTTATGTTTTTCATTATAGCCACCCTTATTTACCACTACCTTGCCTGATCTAGCTGAACCCAAACCTAACATAAAAAAAAAAAGTCCTGGTAAGCAACATCTCCAACAGGTTTGCTACAATACCCTTGAAGAGGCATAAAAAAAAAAATTAATGACATTTCAATGTATTTTTACACTAATGTCATGCAGTGCTAATTCACTGTAACACTATCTCTCTTTGAAATATTTTCCTTAAAATATATAAACAATTACACTGCCCTATTACTTGGAAACTTTTCTCCTACTTTGAGTGCTACTATTAGCTTTCAGCAAATGGGAGCTGATACTATGACATCAGAATGTGAATGTGCTTTACCAGGCCACAGTGCAGAAAACAACATATCTTCCAATTTCTTTTTCATATTTTAATAACTAACAGTCTTAACATAATGATAGATAAGAATAATGCTGAAGTTGCTATAAACAATAGGAATGATATTTACCTAGATCTTAAAAATCTATCCTTACTACAGTTCTGGATTCTTAAAGAAAATGGTGTTTAAAAGTGGAAAATCAAAGTCTGCAGTCCTTTAGGGATTGGAAGAAACCCTTTCCTCAGCCAAGAATGGTACTGCACACCTAAACACAGTGATATAGGATGGAGATGTAAGAGGATGGCAAGTTTGAGGCCAGCCTCAGCAATTTATCAAGACAGTATTCTCAAAATTTAAAAAGGAGTATGGATGTAGCTCATTCATTCAAACCCCAGTCGAACGCCCCCAACACACACACAAAAGAAACAAACATGTCATCCATGTTCCTTTTAAATATAGTTCCCAGAATGGAACATAAGACTCTAGACAATTCAATCAGAATCAGTGGGCTTATTGCATCCCTGTTTTTGACCCTATAATTATATCTATACAGTTTGAAAATAGGTTTTACAAAAATGCTATATATTTTCCATACAGATTACTATTAAATCAGTTCTTCTGTATCCCCTAACTTTCACTTTTCCCTTTCCTGGTGTCTGGCCCAAACCTTCAGTCCTACCTACATATCTAGGTAATACATTAGTTTTTACTCCTAGTTTGTGTTGCCAGTCACACAAACTCTGAAAAGGAGAATTTTATTATCTTGACACATCAAGGTTGTATATAAAAAAATAATTCACACATAATAGAGCCAAATTCAGATCCTTCAGTATATATTAAGGACAATTAACAAATATCTTTTTAGCAAGAGTGATCAATTACTAACACTAATCCACCTCCTCATATCACCTTCTTTCCATAAGAATGTCCTGAAAAACTTTTGTAAAATAAAAAACTGATGAAATCTATATATCCCAAGGCTGTCACATCTCCTATATCTTTTACCAGTAATCCTATTTTTTTAAAGAGAGAGGAGAGAGGAGAGAGAGAGAGAGAGAGAATTTTAATTTTTTTTTTTTTTTTTCAGTTTTCGGCAGACACAGCATCTTTGGATGTGGTGCTGAGGATCAAACCTAGGCCGAAGCATGCCAGGCGAGCGTGGCTACCGCTTGAGCCACATCCCCAGCCCAGTAATCCTATTTTTTAAGAAGTAGAAATAAAAACTTTCAATGATCTGATTTAATGATCCTGAAATGACCAGCGATCAAAAAAAAAAAAAAATCCTTTTCTAAGTACTGACTTCCTTTTATTTAATAAACTTCAGTATTCTACTCCATGTTATACTACTTTTAATAGTCTTCGTCATTCCCAAAACCACCTTTTAAAAAAGCAGAGTATTTACCCATATCTAGATCTATGACATCTCTTC